GCACATGCACCACGGTGATTCATCCGTTCAGATACAATTTGTGCATCCCTCAAAATCTATCAAAAATATTTTAAAGAAATTAGATATTGTTTAAATAAACATTGTAAATGACTATCAACTAAGTTAATATAAATCAGGGATCATTACGTTTAGAATATTTATAATAAAAACTATAATTTGCGGCTGAAATGACTTTTTAATTTCCGACCAAGTTTAAGACCCTGCAGTGACATGGAATTTTTTGATTTGCAACTGGTTTTACATAGTATTCAAATCAATATTTAGTTCTGCTAACACCCTAAACAGGCTTCGTTTGTACACCAACGATAAACGCGAAGCAATTGTAAATCCGAAAATTTGCATGCCAGCACAGGGCCTAATCGTAATCTTATGATTTTTATTTTATTTCTCAATTTTACTATCATACATACATACGTATAAGATCATGGTTTCAAATTGCTTGCCGATTTTCAATGCTTTTGTTGCTTATCTGCCACTATTAAGAATTAATTAGTGAAAGCAGACAGCTGAATCGAAAAAAGTGTAGAAAAATCATTCGCCTTCACATACTTGCAGATGTTATTTGCTTGCGCAGTCGGTTGAACCGAACGGCTTTGAAAGTTTTGGTGATGCAGGAAGCGATAACAGTGCAAACCATTTTTTCAGATATTCTCAATTGTAGAGAAATTTAAAAGAATTCGTTAAGATCTCATCCGAACTTTGCCGAACTTTCTAAAATGATATAAACTTGCACACTTCAATTCTTTTACGAAATTTCGGAAGAAAATCGGTAAAGCATTGAAAATAATACCCCTATGAGAAGAATTTCTCGCAGAATATTTTCAGAATTTTCTTTATTTTTCGTACAGAGATTTCTTTAGGAGTTCGTGTCAAGCACTTCATATAATTTTCTTTGAAGATTCGTAAAAAAATCGTTATAGAAACGAGATACTCCTAAAGATTTTGTTAAGATTTCGGGAACTTTGGTTTGCAGGGAAGTTACGAGTCATTTTTTCAGCTTATAAAATTTTACCGAAACCCCCTAGAAAACTACTTCGTTTTTGATAATGATAACGCGACTGCTAGAATAACGCAGCGACAAGAAAAAGGGGAACCAAAAATAACGATACATAAAACTTAACATTTGCTGAATCACTGTAACTGAAAGCGAATAATTTTCTCTACCCTTTTTGGCTTCAGCTGTTTGCTTTTGCTGATTTATTTTTCATAGTCGTTGTTAAGGAATTACTAATGCTTTGAAAATGGTACAGAACAGCTTGCTTAGAAAAAAAGGTTTTGCGTTCTTACTTTTCAGTCAGCAATACAAACCCTGTATAAGACGTACAGCCGGTCTCACCAGAAATTTAAATGGAAAATGATTTTTGTTCTGTCACTTTCCATATATGATTTAAAAAATTAAAATCATTTTTCACTTAAATTGCTTTCGTGAAACTGGCTGTTATTTTGTGATTTTACTTTTTAGATGACAACTAATCGTTTTTTTTATTGGTTCGATCATCTCGACCCCCACAATAGGGTTCGGAAATATTCATACAATGAACGTTCGCGTACATACATTTATGATTTATACACGAACGTGAACGTACCAAATATTCTCTATTGATTCTCCTTCGTGAACGGGAAGCACAAATAGTCAAAATTCCTGAAGTGGGCCACTTAATTATCACTGGTCGAGATATTTATGATTTTTTTATCTTTTTGTAGAATTTATGATGTATTTGAAGATCCTAAATTTTTTTGGAAAATTTTAATTTTTGTATGAGATTGTTTAAACAATTTTCAGAAAAAGATTGTTTTCTAGCGATCTACATGATGAATCCGGCTGAAATTTGGTATGAGAAATAAATAATAATATAAATAAATAATAATCAAGCTTTCGAACCAAAAAATCGACCACTATTTTTTTTAAATAGCAAAAATTTATTAAAAAAAAATTAAAATAAAAAAGTGTTCCCAATGTATTCCAGAAATTTTGTACCAAAATTCAGATTCCTTGTTTTCTGATGAGTAATTTAAAAAAATAAATAAATTGGAAACTTTCATACACTCAGAGGTTATGCTACTTTTTCTCCTGATGTTTCGCATACACGCCACGTGGCACCTAATTGGGGGCTTCTTAAAAAGTATATTTAAAGTAACAAAAAATTGGAAATGGGATATTTGCAAATCATGCCAAACACAAGTCAATCGCAAGCATGAAAACAATTTAAGAAGTGAAAGAAGTTTGGAAGCTACTTTTAGAAGCTGTGTTGAAGCTACTTGAGAAAAAATGTGTTTAGATAAATAAGTTACTTCAATCTTCAGAAAAGCCGATGAAGTGTATAAAAACAATACTGCCATTCTAACCCCTAACTACATATAACGGGTAGTGGTGGACTTCTTTGACCGGAAAAAGCTTTGGTAAGAGTAACTTACAAAAACAAATACTTATGGGTTATTAAATAATTTAAAACTTTCTTAATTTAAATTACAGGATTTGACCAGCGTGAATCAAAATTAGAAGACCCAGCTTGGAAGTTAGGCAGGAACATCTGTATGTATGTATTTATGTATGTATATAGTAATATGTAAAACATCTGTATTTCATTTATTAAATGTTGTAACTTATTTATAAGTATATGTATATCAATATATTTTTAACAATGTGTGTACCAAACGACTTTTTGCGATTTAATAAAAATAAAATTTGAATATCATATTTGAAAACGCATATTTTTAAAATGAAGAAAAAACACTTTTGGATTTAATTTCACATGCGCATATTCAATTATCAAACAATCGTTTTTAAAAGCGATTTGAAAATGTTCGTATCAAAACCAAAAACATGGATTTTGGAAATTGAATTGAAAACTTTCGTTCTCAAAGTTTAAATAAATATTGTAAACCTGGGTCAAAACGTTTTTAAAAGTAAAACGTTCCATACAAATTTGAAAACGAAAATTTCTCCGTGTGTAGTAAAAAAATGGATTCATGATCTTAAAGTGGCAATTTCTAATTAACCTTTTCAAAGCCGCAAAATTTCACTTTTAACTACAGTCCCGATGGAATGGAGCATTCGTCAAATGAAAGAAAATTTCAATGTATCGCGAGAAGAATGGCGTCAAGGGCCGAAAAATTACATTTAAAGAATGGATACGGATCTAATCCTCCAACGAAAATTGGAAGCTGCAACTTTGGAAAAACTGAACCATTTTACCTTTCTGATGAAAATAGTCGAAATGCTATGCTACAATCCAAATGAAGATTGTTATTTGTCTGCTTGCAAGAACTGCCCAGGGCCTTCAATAATTTCAGAAAAGCTAAAACTTTAGCTTGAAAGTAATGATGTCTTAGAAATGGAATTTCAACAGTGGTCAAGTACTGATAGGTAAATATTTATTAAACAATAAACAAAAAGTTTTTACATAACACAATTCAGTATATTAAATATCTTATGACTTTAATTCATTTCATAGTTATCATATAATGTATTATTATTATAAAATGTATTTAATAAAAACGTTTGCTAGTATTAATAAGTAATTCGTTTATTATTTATTAATGTGTATTTTTTCTAAATCAGGTGTGAACTGTTGCTACGTTTTGTTGGAAGAGAAGAGTTTTTGGAAGAATTGACCAGAGATTTACCACATGTAGTAAAGCACGATTTTCTAGCTAGCAGCCAATCTAACTATTTTACAAAAACAAAAAACATCGTAAGGGAAGGTGAATGTATTATCGCACTTGATTTTGCTGAAAATTATACATGCCAAGTTCAAGATGCCTTCCAATCTCAACACTGGGCTAACGCTCAGCCAACACTTCCACCCTTACGTAATTTATTACAAAAAAGAAGGCGCTATAAAACATTCAAATTATGTTGTAATATCAGAATATTTACATCATAATGCGAACGCGGTACACTTATTTAACTTAAAATTATTAACTTTTTGAAAGCGAAATTAGGTTCTTTTGAAATGAAAAAAATTATGTATTCTTCCGACGGTGCTGGATCACAGTACAAAACAAATTTAATTTAATTAACTTCATTAACCATAAACTAGATTTTGGAATGAAGCTGAATGGAATTTTTTCCCTACATCTCATGGAAAGGGTGCTTGTGAAGGGATTGTAAAAAGACATGCCTATCGGTCTAGTTTAAAAAAATTATGATTACAACACCGAAAAGTTTTTTAAATGGGCAAAAATTTTTTTTAAATTTTTTTAAATTTTAGAGCCTCGATATAAAATGCCGAAAAGGTTAACTCTACTCGCCAGTATCATTGTTTTATACCAATTAATGATAATAAACTTGTATGTAGAATATTTTCTGAATTAAAAAAAAAAACAAGTTACAGAGACTGTTATGAAAACCGAAGCCAATAAAAAATTTAAATTTGTTCTTAACATGCACTATGTATGTATGTATGTATATATTTATTTATATAACGTAACTCACTTATTTGCATATCGCACACGATCTTCAATGGTGACATAACTCAAAATTACACGTTTGTCAGAAAATGCGAAAAACTACTGCTTAGCCCTTGTTAATCATTTGGGCTAGGGATACTTTACCTAAGGTTTTTTCAAAAAATTTTAACAAAAACTTGCTCCAGCTTGTGTTGAAAGATAAATAAAAGTTATGTGTACATTTTTGGCGCATAATTTCAAAATCGATAAAGTTTAAATTGCCAAATTTTGAATTGTGTTACTTTTAAAGATCATTTGCGATATGTACTATTCACGAATTCACATGCCACACTCGCATATAACGGTTTTATGCTGTAAGAAGTGCGCAATTAGGCGCTGCCGCGTGGTCGTGTATGAGGAACATCAGGGGAAAAAGTAGCATAACTTCTGACTGTATGAAAGTTTCCAATTTTTTTTTTAATTACTCATCAGAAAACAAGGAATCTTAATTTTGGTACAAAAGTTCTGGAATATAAATAGTGATCGATTTTTTTGTTCGAAAGCTTGATTATTATTTATTGCTCATGCCAAATTTCAGGCGCATTCATCAAGTAGATCGTTAGAAAACAATATTTTTCTGAGT